CCTTTCGATGGAAAGCAGATTCGCATTGTTCAGCCTCCCAGAACAGGAGCACAATATTTTAATTACAAAAATTTTTATAGTATTGTTCTGATGGCTATTGTAAACGCTAATTATGAATTTATATATATTGATGTGGGAAAAAATGGAAGGTTCTCTGATGGAGGTGTAATAGCTTACACAGAGTTCTATAGAAGATTGCAATCTGATTGTCTAAATTTACCTACACCGACAAAAACGAAATATAACCTCAATTTTGTTTTTGTTGGAGACGAAGCATTTGCTTTGCATAAACATTTGCTAAAACCTTACCCTCAAAAAAATTTAAATTCAGAAAAACGCATTTATAACTACAGATTATCTAGAGCAAGAAATACATCTGAAAATGCTTTTGGACACATAAATAGTAGATTTAGAGTTTTAAACTCATGTATAAATATGTCTCCAGAAAAAGTTCAATATATTGTAATTGTAACGCTCCAAAACTGTCGAAAAAACTCTTGGTGTAAAGGACGCTAATTGACATGGAAAGCCCACCTAGATAATAGAGTAAAAACAGCGTACGTTGCGTTCGGTCAATGCCGGTGGGCTATAGGTAAGATGGGGTTTGTCATGGGGTTTGTCAACCGAATATCCCGAAAAATCACCGAAAATTAAATACATCCGAGTATACTTCCCTTCCCACACTACCTCGATATGTTACAGTTTTCAGTGAAAACTGTAACATATCGTGCTCGAAATGGACCGAAACGCCGTTCCGGTTCGTGAAATCACCGTTCCATTTCGTAAAAGTTTTCCTCATGTCATATTGGCTTCAGCGAAAAACCTACGTTAGTACGGACGGACACTGCCTTTCAGTTTAAAAAGCGCGCGTACAATTGGATCTCTCGTGACGACGATGTATGTGTGCGCATAGGCATGATTAAGCCGAGTTCGCATTGGCATTTGGCANTGTATAAATATGTCTCCAGAAAAAGTTCAATATATTGTAATTGTAACGCTCCAAAACTGTCGAAAAAACTCTTGGTGTAAAGGACGCTAATTGACATGGAAAGCCCACCTAGATAATAGAGTAAAAACAGCGTACGTTGCGTTCGGTCAATGCCGGAGGGCTATAGGTAAGATGGGGTTTGTCATGGGGTTTGTCACCCAATCCAACCCAACCCAAAAATGCCCTCTGGATTTACACGGCTGTAGTCCCACCTATGCTTACATATGATGCAGCAGTATGGTGGTCAAAAACCTTACAGTCTACCCCCACTGCAGCCATGGAAAACATGTTGAACCTAACGCCACTTCATTTGTTTATTCAAGAGATGGCACTAATGACCATGTTTCGACTATGAGCAGCAGGAATTCTAATGGGTGAAAGATATATTAAAAATGTCATTCTCTGGAATGAAATGGTGGACTACTCACCAATTCTGGAATGTATAACGAACTTGTAACGAAGTTACATTATTTTGATTTTTCAAAAACCGAATATAGTTGGTAAAAAGAATTAGAGTAAAAATTGTAATATCACATGGTAAAAATAACTCTACTGTACACTATATTTAATATTAATATAGAGTTCATATATTANAAACATTATTTACTACCACTGAACGAGTTTTCAGAACTGTTTACAAAATTGC